CCGTTAAACATGGTTAGACAACAACTGCTTGTCGTCAACAACGAAACACCCACTGTAGCCTATGAAGGAAGACTTGCTGCTGCTGTCATTCGCTTCTGTCAGTCTGATCGGTCAGTGACAAGAGAAGGTTCAAGCGTTCCGTTTTTCTGCCACGTATTTGCTTAGACAATGGTCGATCTTTGTACGTGAGCTTCCGCTGGGGCACGTTCTTGATAAACGCTTGCGTCCAGTCACCCGTTCGCGACACGTCCAACAGGATATTCACACACTGGTTTAAAGTCAACGTTTTCGAGCCACTTTCCCACCTACAAGTAGATAAGGAAAACTTTAGTCTTACGCACTAGAAAAAAAATCGGAAAGCCATAAGAGACAGAAACAAACCGCAAAGAGCATTGTAATATGATTCGCTCATAACATGTCCCACCTTTAATAAGGTAATCTAGAGGTTTCCACTTCTCCATTTCAGCATACCAACCGAAAATCGCGCTGTCCTCTGCGATAACGGTTCAACAATTCTCACGGTGAATCGCTAGCCGACACTTTAAAACATGAAGACCTGAATATATGTAAGTACGAATAATGGACACGCTCAATGATGTTTTGATATCGCCCACTGGCAGTTGACGAGGAAAGTCTGCGATTGCTTTTGCCCATCTGAAATATACAACGAGAGAGATCAAAGAATTGGTCGCTGGTCTTGAATGTCAAAACGAAAGAGTTACATAACGACAATGGAAACAAGAATGTCAGGATTAGATCGATCCTCCCCCTCACCCAGAATTAAACTTTCTCACTTGTATATCAGCGAAACATTTTTACTGTATAACGTAAGCTAAATGGCCTCACCTACCTTACGAACTTATCGATGGGCAGTCGAGCCGACCTGATACCCAGCTGCTTGGCCCTGGCTAACGACCAGTTGCATCTGGATGGTTTGTCGACCATAGCGCCTATGACAACCACGTCGTTTGGGTGTAGGTCGATCAGCATGCTGCGAGAATCTGGACTGAGATAGATGAGCTTGTCTTTTGGAAACATGTCGATGAAGCTGTCAGACGCGTAGTTTACCAGATAGCGATCGAGCCCGTCGACGAAGTACCGCGATGCGTCACGCCAAGACATGTGGTCCATGCAACAATCGGTGAAGTGCATGTTGAAGGGGAAGCAGTGCGAGCGGTTCGAAAAGTAGCTTTCTCTAAGCTGTAGCCATGTCAAACTCGACTCAATGACGCTCAGCTCGGTCAGAGGCTTCATATCAAACACGATGTTGGAGTTGAACGGCTCAGAGATGCCCAAACGTGCCTCATCTACCCTAAAATCAAGCCCGAGATCATATCCTGAAATTAATTAATGCACAACACTTCAAAAGAGTTAACAGTTCAAAGATGATGCAATATTTACGAACAAATGAATGTATTTTATTATTAGAACATAGGGAACATTGCTTTACCCTTCAGAAGAAAGTTTCTTCCAGCAGAAACATGGACATAGTAGTACTAACTGCTGGTAGGAAAGAACCTTTTCCCCTTAGTATGTCATGTGTCTGCTGGAATAATCGCCCTGAGCTATCACATAAACAAGACGTGTTTAATTTGTAATGCCTGTATTCGCAGCTTCTCAACACTGTTGCTATAAGGCAACAGTTATTGCATCATAGAAAATAGATCTGCGAGAGCAGATATGCCTCAATCTCAATCTGTCATGCTGTGCACTGGTCTCTGGCAAATGTCGCCGTGTTTCGGCTTCCACATGAGAAGTTCACTGGCTGGACTAAATAATGATTTATGCTCAACCGATTTGTAACACCCTCAAACAGGGCCAATTTTCTTTCCATAATTACCACATCCACCGAGGTCACATGTCGGAGAAGAATAGTCATTCCTAACGTACGTGATCTTGTTATCTAACTCTCGCTATGAGTCTAAGCCAGTTCAACCGCCGTTCTTGCTCCTTTTTTGGAACAACCGTCTCCATGCCCAACAAAAACACCGGCCAGACCAATACAGGGTATAGGCGGATTTTAGTGAAAAGGGTTAATCCCTTCTCAACTCAAATATTTTACAGGTAACAAAAGCACTGAGGACAGGCTGATCCCCCTATTTAACTTTAACAGACTGGTACCAATCTTCAGTTTAATAATA